ATTTTAAATTTCCTATGACAAGGTTAAAAATAAAACTCAAAACATATATGCAGATGTTGATGGTTAGTTACTAAAAATAAAATGTAAGATTATATTGGGAGTTCATTTCTTATGGAAATGGGTATAGACTTGCCTGCCCTTGTTTGTGTTCTAGGCAAACACACCAGGGCTCAGCATTCATTCCATCATCTGGTAGTTATAGGGGCTTTGAAACACATCAACTACACAAGTCAGTTAGAAAGATGGAGATGTGTGGTTTTCGTTTCTTGAGACAGGATCTCACTGTGTAGCCCTGGTCAGGTCAGAACTGGATATGTAGACCAGGCTGGCCTCAAACTCATAGTGATCAGCCTGGCTCTGCCTCCCAAGAGCTGGGGTTAAAAGTGGGTGCCACCCAGAGAGAGCACATTTTTTCCGCAATATATGTTTTTATTTAAATTAGAAACAAGCTTGCTTCACATGTCAGTCCCAGCTCCCTCACCCACCCTTCCTCCCTTGTCTCTCCACCAGCCCTCCCAGACCCCCACCCAATCCCCACATCATTCCCCAGGGATGGTGAGGCTCTCATCTCTAAAGTCGGTCATTTCATCCAGGGTAGGACCTAGGCCCTTCCCCATGTGTCCTGGCTGAGGGAGCATCCCTCTATTTGGAATGGGCTCCCAAAGATCATTCATACACCAAAGATCATTCAACACTGATCTACTACCCAAGGCCCAGTGATTTCTGTGGCCTCCTCACTGGCACTACATTCATGGAGTCTAGATCAATCCCCTGTTGGCCTGAGAGAGCACATTTTTAAAAGTGCAATTTTCTTCGATTTAAGTTAAAATTTACAAAGGAGAAAAAAACCTATGCCATTCAAATTGTGGCGAATGCTAGGAAGGAGTAAGGTGGTGTAGAAAACGTACGCTACAAGTGCTTTAAAAGGAGCATGCCGCTGAGTCTGTGAATGGACACTGAGCCAAGGTTTGAAGGATTGAAAGGACTTGACATTAAAATGTGCCAGGAAGTTGGAGGAAAAGTTACTCTAGATTCAAAGATCAGGGAAAAACAGAGGCCCCAAGGAGGAGGAGAGCAGGGGGGCGGGGGGGGGAGTACACAAAGTGATGGAGAGAGTAGGGTGGGGCCTAGAGGAATGGTTGGGCACTAGCATTTTATACCAAGCACAAGGGCAAGTTTTGGGAACATCAGACTGGAGAGCAACATGAATTGATTTGAGGCTTTGTAAGAACACTATGGCTGCTCTCCAAGTGAGCCAAGGATGTTTAAATGCAGAGTAGGCAGGTCAGCTGGGAGAATATTAACAGTCTAGGTGGGTGTCCTGAACTGAAGTCCTATAACAACTCTCCTATTTTTCCTTCCTCCCTGTCTTCCTTCCTTCCTGTCTTCCTTCCCTTTCTACTTCCTCCCCCTTCCTCCCCCTTTCCTTCTCTCCCTCCTCCTTCTTTTGATCCATTATTATGAACACTAGAATTAATAGCAGTAGTAGTGGTCTGGGACAAATATATTAATATTTTCTAGAGATGCTAAGTTTGAGACATATAGTTGATGCTATTATTCCTTTTTTTCATGCAGAAGACTAAATATGATGGGTATCTATGACACATAGAAAGAAAAGAGGAAGGGCAACTCAGTTCTTGGAGAGAAGGAAGGGGACAATTCAGAACACAACGATGGTAGATGTAAATTTAGGAAGTAGGCCTGCCACATGCAGAACAGGTGAGGAAAAGCAGGTAGATGTAGGAGCATAAGTGTTCTAGTTAACATCAACTGACAACTGGACACATCTAAAGTCACTGAGAAATTACCTTCAGAAGGTTGATCTGTGGACATGTCTATGAGAGGTTGCTTTGTGCTAAGTGATAGGGGGTAGTCTACTGTAGGTGGTGCCATATCCTGGATACGACCTTGGGGTATGTAAAAAAAAACTAGCTAAACGTGTAAGAGTGGAGATCTACCACCAAGCAGCACTCCTCCATGATTTCTGCATTGAGATCCTCTTCTGTCTTCCCTCAGTGACACATTGTGACCTGGTAGTTGTAAGTTGAAATTATCACTTTATTCTACTGAATTGCTTTAGGTCAGAATGTTTTATCACAGCAACAGAATGAAGCTAGGACAGAAGGCAAAGAGTTTGTAGGAGTCCCTGCGTGATGCTTCTATTTCCTCATTGCTATTAAAAATCACTCCTGATACCTCTTATAATTTTATTTTTACAGAGCTGTTATGAGTAATTCAAAATATCACTGAGTTATAGCATTTTTGGGCTCCATAAATTTATAAAGAAAAATATCTAAATTAGAACATGTGTGCAAATTCTTAAAATATAAGAACACTCTAATTGACCACAATTAAGATTATGTAATTAAGATTACAAATATAATTACTGGCATTTGGAATCTTCTTGCTTAAGTAGACCAGATAATTACAATATCATGTTAAATATCTGAGTTTCAAATTTATGCAGAGTTTTGCAGAGACAAAAAATTTCCAAGGCTAGAGATTTATATTCTTTTAAAACACATTTTTATTAATTTTTGAGACTTTCAAATATGCATACAATATTTGATCACATTCTCCTCTAACTCTTTCCAGATCTACCCTCAACTCTCCCATTCCACTCAACCATGTGTCCTTTTTTTTCCCCCAATAACCCACAGAATCCAATTTGTGCTGCTGCGCTATTGTCCTGGGTGGGAGAACATCCCCAGAAGTATGGTCAACCTACCAGTGGCTGCACCCTTAAAGAAAACCGACCCTTCCTTCTGCAAAAGTCATCAACTTTCCATAGCCCCGAAGCTAGGGGCTGGTGCTTATGATCACCTCCCTTCTCCCTGCTAGAATGCTGACTGATTGACCTGCAGGTCATGTTCAGGCAAGCACAGCTGCTGTGAGTTCATGATCCTGTCATGTCCAGAAGAGACTATGTCAGCTCAGGTCCTCCCTGACCTCTGGCTCTTATACTCTTATACACTCTTCCAACCTCAGCTTCTGAAATGGTTCCTGAGTCTTGGCGAGTGTGTGTGTGTGTGTGTGTATGTGTGTGTGTGTGTGTGTTATAGACTTACACATAGAGTGGTTAAGCACTCTATAGACTTTTTCTGCATTTGGCTCCTTGTGAGCATCTGCCTTAATTGCCAGCCACTGCACAGAGAGAAGTCTCTGAGAACTATGGGCCATGCTTTAAAATTGTGTTGCCCACCAGTAGAGCTAGGAAACAAGGAGGAGCCCGAAAGAAAAACTCATGGTCCCCCGAAGAAGGGGAGGGGGACAAGAACCCCTGAGCAAATTGGGAACATGGGGGGGGGATGAAGAGAGGAGGGAGATGGAAAGGGGAAAAGGGGAGGTGGTAGGAGAACAAGAGGACTGAGACAGGGGAGGAATAGAGGAGGGCAAGAAAGGAGATGCCTTGATAAAGGGAGTCAGTACAGGTTTGGAGAGAGGTCTGGCACAGAGCAAATGGTAGGGGATCCACAGGGATGACCACAACTAAGAATCTAGGCAGTGGTGGAGAGACTGCCTTCGATGCCCTTCCCCTATAATGAGATTGATGACTATCTTGGTTACCATTCCCAGAGCCTTGGCCCAGTAGCTGACCGAAGCAGACACAGACACTCACAGCTGAGCATTGAGCTATACTCCCAGAATCCAGCTGCGGAGAGGGATGAGAGATGATCAAATGAGCTAAGACGGAACTGGAGATACCCTTAGAAACAGTTGACCTGACCTAGTGAGATCACACAGACCTTAGTCATAAAGCAGGGGAACCAGCGTTGGACCAAACCACGCCCTCTGAATGTGGTTACCAGCTAGGAGGCCGGGGCAGTCTATGGACCTCTAACAGTGGAGCCAGTGTTTATTTCAAGGTCACAAATGGACTTTGGGAGCCCTTTCCCTATGGAGGGAAACTATTGCAGCTCAGATATGGAAAGGAGGGCCTGGGCCCTCCCCCAGATGATGTGATGGACTTTGATGATTCCCCGTGGTGGGTCTCACTGTCCCTGGGTAGTGGGTGGTGGGTGGGTTGGGGGATTGGTGGAGAGCATGGGAGGATGGGGGGTGAGGGGATGGGGGAATGGATATGTAAATAAGAGCTTCTAAAAAGAAGAAAGAAAAATTGTGTTGCTAGGGACACAAGCAAGAGCAGGGAGGAACCCGAGTGGGCGGATAATTCCAGAAACCTCATCACCCCTGTAGGAAAAACAACACAAAACCACAGCCCAGACTTTAACATTATCTTTGGCCCATAAGGAACCAGCACATTTTTTTTTTAGATGACTGTCATCTCAGTAATGTAAGGTATTACGTAATATGTTCTCGTAAGACTTTTCAACGGCCCTACACATGCTACTCTGGTTGTCATTGTAGCTTTCTGACGTTGAGAACAACTTGTTAACCTAAGGGGAAGTTGTTCAGATCAATGCTGGTCAGTAGAAATAGAACTAGAGCCATATATTTAATTTTAAATTTGCTGGTAGCTAACACACACACACATACACTCACTCGGGGGGGCGTGGAGGGGGGAGAGAGAGAGGGAGAGAGGCAGACAGAGAGAGCAGGGGGAGAATGGGTGAAATTGCTTTCCTTACTATACTTGAAGTAACATGGATAATTTATTTTCATTTCAAACACATAGCGAGCACAAGCAATTGTTTACATTCCTCTTTCTGTGCTGTTTTTGAAACCTAGCACAATTTGTAGGCATAAAGCACACTTCAGTTGGACCACTCACATTTCAAATGCTTAGAGCCACATGACAGAACAAAGGGGCGAGGGTTACGGGATGCAGAGTCTGGACTCCACCACGGCTGGTAGAGTGTGAGTCACCGTTTATTACCCCTCTGCACACAGGCCTTCAAATACCTCCCGCCATGGCTGGAATAATAACTCAAGTCTTAGAGACTGAAGGTGGTGGGGCCCTGGCTAATTTCATTGCCTCTCAGTTTTGCTCTCTTTCTGCCTCTGCCCCAGGCTGGCTGCTGAGTCAAGTTCATTCTCACCTCAGGGTGAAGGGACTTCCTGTTCCTTTAGCCTGGATTCCATCTTCTCAGTCACAAAGCTGGGAGCCACGCGGATCTTTCTCTTCTGCAGTCTTAGCACGGCCTTCTTCTCTACGCAGTTTTCATCTGACGGGATGAAAAGACTCCACTTTCTTACTGTCCATTGCCTCAATCGTTGGCACCACACACACATTTTGAAGTTTGCTTGCTGAGATCTCCTCCTCCCGAGAAGCCGGCGATGCCAGGAGCTTTGCATGGCCAGTGTTTGGAACAGGCCCTTGCACACAGTGCGCTTGCTGAACGAATGAGTGAGGTGTGCTATTTGGAGCGAATCATTTGGAGGATGAGTGCAATGCCTAAGAATTTGTCCTCCGGGGGCCGACGTCAGTTGCCCAGCTTTGCTCCTGTGAGCCGAGCTCCTCCCGACCGGGTTTCCTTACCTAAAAGATGTGGGTATTAAGAACAGCATCTATTTCGTGAAAGCGGAGTTGCTTCATGATTAGATGAGGTGAAGTACATATATAATGTCTGATCCACAGGAAGTTCTTGTGGAAATGTTATTTTCTGTGGTTACAGTGACTACCTACATACTCAGCCACCCCAGACTAAGGTTCCTAAGAGCCATTTCTTTTTGCCTCTCGTGCCTATCTTGGTATTTTTGCCACCATACCTGAGTTTAAGCTAATTATCACTTCGTGCCCAGATTCCAGCCTCCTGACAACTAATGGTTTCCTTATACACACTTCAGCACCATTTCCCCCTCCCTTTAATTCTTTGTAATGCAGTGGAGTAATTTTAGGAAAACGCAAATCATATCATTCCATTAGGTGCTACCAGTCCTTGAGCTTGCAAGGTAACAAGTGGCTTCCCAGTGCCTTTAGAAGCACAGTAACTGTGTGGGAAGTAAACACCCCATAAAGACACAATACAGGAAGTATCCAGCATATGCCTCTCACACCACTGTCCACCAGTTCTTATTTCCTCAGTTCCCTGGAGACGATAGTTTCCAGCCCTCTACCTGATCCTTCTAATTTGTCTCTTATGAGGAAGAGGCTGGCTCCCACTTTGCCAGTGGGAGAGTGGGAAGATGTTGCTTCCCATCCCCACATATTTGGGCAACTAAGCTAAGAGAACTGTGCAGGCCCTATCTCTAAGAATCAGTGTGAATTTAAAATTGGATACTAAGCCATGGTAGGAGAATTCCCCACCCTGTTGACCTTTTGATTATAGTAAAACAGACACCTCAGCCCAGTGCTTACCTTCATGTTAGAACTGGAGAGCATTTACTTCTGGGAACCTGCATGGGAACTAAATATACTCTATTCATATTCACTGCTAAATCCATTGAGTTTTCCAAGCAAAGTCCTAAGGAGGCAATTATGGCCACCTCTGGGTGAATGGATCAGAAGAGCTTTCTGATACTTACTAATATGTCCCCAGACTGTCTTCACCCCCAGCTTTGCAAGTCTTCTCAGATGTGTTTTAGACATTGGTTGCTCTATCACTGCCATTTTGGGTGTGGTGGGTGTGGCGGTGAGCTTTCTCCTAATGCCATCTGCTCTGCTCCAGGCTCTGCCTAGTGTCCTTCAGTGCTACAGTCCCGGGTTCTCTTGTTTCTCTCTCTGCTTTTCTTGTACATCAGAATCCTGTTTTCTTGGATTCTGTCTTCTCTTGTTTGAATAAAAATGTGCTAAAAGCTGTCTCAGAAATGGTCCTGTGAGGTTACTTTGGTTACCTTTAGTGTGTGAAAACAGCTTTATTATTCTTTCACTCGATGAATAATTTGTCTACATGGGCATCTGGATCAACAATGACTCCCTTGTGTTCCTTTCTGTCATCTAGTTTTGCTGCTGAGAAGTCTAAAGCTATTCTGTACCCAGTTCTACTTGGAATCTTGTATTTGTTTTTTTTTTAACTTTTACAATGTGCTTTGTCTATGTGGTTCTGTGGTTTCATAACGATATGTCTCAGTGTAGGATTATTTTCATGCATTGTCTTAGAACTCAATAGTCCCTTTCACTTTGTAATGTTGTGTCCTGTCATTCCAGGAAATTTTCTTGAATTGTTTCTTTGATAATTTCCTCCTTCTGTTTTCCATTTGTTTCCTTTCTGGAACTCCCATTATACAGACACCAAACTTCCTGTATTAGATTGCACCTCTCATGGGTTTTATTCTCTTGCTTTTCTAATGCCTTAATCTTGCTTCGATTTATAGGAGGTTTTTTCATTACTTATATTTTTAATTTTCATCTGAAGTTTCTTAAACTGCTAAGGTTACAATACAAGAGTTTACTTTTACCCTTCATAGTAGTTTATAGTACAACTTCAAAAGTTCTGGTGTCCATGTCTTGTTTAGCGGCTATAATATCTTATAACATTTCAGTAGCTTTAAATCTTTGAAGAGAGTAATAGTTTTTACTTTCTTCTCCCCCTTCCCCCCCCTGCATAATCTCTACTGCTTTCTAGTTGATTTTCAATGGTTAGCTTGTTTTGGCCTCTTTCTTTCTTGTTAGGACACTGAACTCAGAGTCTGAAGATCCATGAATGTCTTCCAGGAGGGAGGCAATCAAATATCTTAAGGAAGCCTGACTGCTACAGTTGGCATCTGCACACTGACACACTGTGCAACCTCCTATTGGCCAGGACCATGGGACAGGAACAAGAAAGGCAGGCAGGGTTCTCGGCCATCACTTACAGCTTTCAGATGGTCCCTCTTCAGCCCAGCCAGGGGCTGACGTCAAGTTTCAGTTCTCCCGAGACATTCAGTTACTATGCAGCTGTTATTTTGTCTTTCAGCTTCCAAAAATCACGTTGCTGATTATCTTTTGTGCATGTCCTTTTACACATGCCTTCCTTGGGAGGCAGAATCAGGGGGAAATCACTGTACGTTCAAGGCCAGGCTGGTTATAGAGTTAAGTTTCACACAAGCCACGACCATACAAGATCTTGTCTTTTAGAATAAAATAATTGCAGTCACTACATATTTTTGTTTCCTTGTTGTTTGTTGTCTTTTGCTTTCTGAGACAGGGCTTCTTTGTGTAACAGTTCTGGCTGTCCTGGCCCCAGTTTTGTAGACCAGGCTGGCCTTGAACTCACAGAGATCCACCTGCCTCTACCTCCCAAGTGCTGTGATTAATGGCATCACCACCACTGCATATCTTTTACTGAGTTTTCAGAGGAATGTAAAGTAGCATGCACACACTCTGATGTTTCTAGTATGAACTAGAGAATATACAAGCTTTACTGCATGACTACCAAGTGCTTTCCTCTGCACGAAGCTCTCCCAGGGAAAGCCGCCCCCCATCAGGCACTAAATATGTCTGCACCTTAATCTTCCCTTGGCTTCCCATCCTCCAGAACGGTGAGAAACAAATCTATACTACATATAATCTGCGTTGTATGTCAGTTTTAAAGCAGCCCAAACAGATTGGAGCTCTAAATGCATGTTTTACTTAATGCGTCCATTTCCAGTGGTTTTGTCCCCATTGACGTTACCTCTAGTTTTGCAAAGTAAAGTTTTTCATAATTCTGCTATAATTCTTACGTTATTAGTATCCGACTAGTTTTAAGTGACTAGTTTGATCTTGATGGGTCTAATTTTCATAGCTGCAAAACTGAATAATGAAAGACATCTCAGAGAAGTGTTAGTGAGATGAGGGTCAGAGCCTTTGGGTGCCTAGAAGGCAGCAATGACTCAAGTGATAACTTTAAAACATTTAAAAATTTTTTTCATTTAAATTAGAAATAAGCTTGCTTCACATGTCAATCCCAGATCTCTCTCCCTCCCCTCCTCCTCTACCCTCTACCAGCCTCCCCAACCCTCCACCCCATCTTCCCTCCCCTCCCCAGGGAGGGTGAGCCCCTCCTTGGGGGAATCTTCAAAATCTGTCATATCATCTGGGGCAGGGCCTAGCCCCCTGATGTGTCCAGGCTGAGAGAGCATCCCTTCACGTAGAATGAGCTCCCAAAGTCCATTCGGATGCCAGGGGATAAATACTGATCTACTACCTGAGGCCCCATAGATTGCCCAGGCCACCTCCCAGCCATCAGTCTGGGGTTCATGAGCTCCCCCTTATTCAGGTCAGCTATGTCTGTGGGTTTCACCAGCCTGGTCTTGACCCTTAAACGATAACTTAACAACATTTATTTCATTTATAAGCATGAGTTTGAGTAGAAAGGAGCCTCTTTCCAAAGTCAGGTATATGTTTTTCAATATCACATATGTGGGAAGAGGAACATATAGTGTTATAATTTAAGAATTTTGATCCATTCATTAAACTTGTTAAGCTTTACTTGTTCCCCGAGTTCTTCTATAATTCTATAAAATACATACAACTACATTTCAGATATGGGAATAGCATACACCATGCTACAAAGATGACTTATCAAAAACTCTTTTTGGAAACTGAAAGTGTCTCAGTCAAACACCGGAGTGAATGTGGTGATGTTGGACACTGGGGTGGTGTGAAAGGAAATGGTCCCCATAAGGAGTGGCACTGTTAGGAGCCGTGGCTTTGCTGGAGGAAGTGTGTCACTGTGGGGGCGGACTTGGAGGTCTCCTATGCTTAAGCTGCACCCAGTGACACAGTTTACTTCCTGTTGCCTGTGGATCAAGATGTAGGACTCTCAGCTCCTTCTCCAGCACCATGTCTGCCTTCACAACACCATGTCCTGCTGCGATGATAGTGGATTAGACCTCTGAAACTGTAAACCATCCCAATGGAATGTCTTCCTTTGTAAGAGTTGCCATGGTCATGGTGCCTCCTCACAGCAGCAGAAGACAGACTAAGACAGACACGTTCTCATGCCATCTTTAGGTCCATTTCTATGTGTTACATAGGGACAGTGATGCTTCCTAGAGTCAGAGAGGTAAAGATTAAGATTAGAATAAAATGAGTTCACCAATTCAAGCCATGGCTGATTATGAAAGCATGTGTTTCTGCAGTTACAATTTAAAGTTATAAGCAATAAGTCACCGTGGTGAGGGAATATGTCGTGTGATGACACCATCACTGATCAGTTTGAAGACAACCTCTTCTGGCTTGTAGGTACTTGATTGCAATATACATATGCAGACAAATTTTCATGCACCCTGGAAGGAAAGAGTGGATGTTGTTGATAGGAGAGCTCCATTTTGTTAATTTAATTGCTCCTACGAGGACTTGTCTTGACTGATCAAAAGAGGCTTCAGGTTTCAGCTCTCTGAGGCAGCAGCTTCCGACATCTTTCACGTCCATGTCTAGAGTTCAATTACAGAACTGGTTTCTGAGGCTTGATGCTCATGGATGCAACATAAAACACCAGAGTTGGTGACATTCATAAATGAGGACTCTTAGCTAATGGTGCATCTGTACCACCAAAGGATAGGACGAAACAAATTGTGTCTTCATTAGAAATAGTGGTAGACATCATCTCATATAAATTTCTGTGAGATAATTTTATTTTAACAATGAAAATCGGGACTCATATGGCAAATTGTAATCTTTAAGTACATTTCAATAGGATAGGGGAATATTGCTGGTCTTTAATGCATGCTTTGACTTGTGTGGTTTATTACTTTCAGACCTGTTCTGAGCTAATTTATATGCAATGTCACTTAGACACTTTTACACCTTCTTTGTTCCTCAGTCAGCTATTTGCAAGTAGATCATTTTGCTTCGGTCACTGGGATTCTTAAACTCTAGAATGAAAAAAAAAACTGCTTAGGACTGCCTATAAAGTAGTTAGGTAAATGAAGTTCTTATTGCCGGATAAATTTGGAGGTTTGTGTCTGCAGAGAGCAATTTCTGAAAACACGAAAAGAATCTGAATCAGGAGTGGGCAATCGATGGCTGGCAGAACGAGGAGGCCAAGGTGAGAAGTCTCATTTTATAGGAGTGCAACTACACTAGCTTCTGTCTGGGCTCAAAGAAAAAAGAGAAGGAAGGAAGGGATGAAGGGAGGGAAAGGAACTCGTATGAACCAATTCTATCCATCATTGGGTATATAAGAGACAGCAGTTAACAGTTAAGTGTTTTGAATTAAATGTAGCAATTTCACTGATGACTCCTAGAAAAACTATACAAACTACCTAAATTGTGTGCTCCTTCATTTCCTGAATGTGTTCTGAAATGAATGATATTTGATCCTAAGAATAATGAAATAGCCCACCATTTCAGAGTTCTTGGAGGATATTTACTTTCATAGATTTCTATCACTTTAGTAATTATGCTGATTGGATGTCAATCTTATGATATTTTACATTAATGAATATGTCTACTTTTCTATCTCTGCCATCCACATCCGTGGCTTCCTAGTTTGATAGGTTTCGTTTCTCCCATTCTATCTTTGCATATTGCTGTGGGTCAGTGAGTCTGCTTTGCTGGTTCTGTGATCCTAATCAAATTCTGCATTTGCAGCTAATTTGGATTAGGATTTCTTCCTTTCACATCTAAAGGCAGCATATTAGCCCATTTTTTCTTATGCAGAAAGGATCTGTAATAAGAGCCACATGTTCTATAAATGCACAGTTATGTCTAATGTGACTAGAAATGATGGACATTAAATCACATGTAATTTTTATCAATAGAGCTTTGCCTTATTTATCTATGAAGTACTGTGTACCTTATGTATCAACCTTCATATATCAAAGGTTTGTCATAATATATTAGCTGAGAGTGGGATGATTTTGCCTATAAAGTTAGAATCAGATTCTCATAGCTAATGACCCCAGAGGTTCTCTTGTTCTCGCTGTCACTCAAACTTTTACAGATGAGGAAGCAGGCACTTGTCTAAGGCTACACATCACTTGTGGATGGATGAAACTCACGAATCCTGGGTTCACAGCTACTTCTCCAGGCCCACCACACTTGCACTCGTGAATTTGGTATGGGTCAAGGCGTAGGCCTCTATGTACCTCCTTGTACTCAGATGTTGCATTTTTTAAACTTAGGCCACCCCAAACTACAGCCTTGTGCAGACAAGTTGGCACAAATCCATCTTCCCACAGAAAATGCATATGTCACATGGATGCTGGATAATTATCTTTGTGTCTCTAAACAAACAAGATCATTTCACAGTGACAGCAATCAATTTACACTCTCTGATAAGCAATTAATCATCTATGAAACATGTGCTGTGCCTTTCCAAGGGTAGGGTCTCAGGCCTTGTGGAACTTGCAAACCAGGATAAAGGCAAATGTGTAACATTTCATAGAGTTGTATCTTTCCAACCAGTGAAATAGCTCAGTGTGTAGAGGCACTTGTAGGTGGGCCTGACAACCTGAGTTCAATTCTTGGATTCCCACATGTGCACTGTGGTGCATGCACACACACACACACACACACACACACAAACACACACACATGCATACATACACATACACACATGTTGAATCTTTAGACGGGAGCACACACATCTCAAAAGTATGAAGGTAATTCCCTCTGCCAGTTTGTAGTTTTCTTGCCGAATTGGCTAGTGTAACACATATCCAAGAAAGGACTCAGATAAACAGAGCAGAAAGCTGGTCATTTATGGCCAAACTTCAGCTGTCCTGTCCTGAGACACAGGTTTCACCTGCCAGGTATACCGTTTTGATTTTTTGAAGAGTTTTGCAATTGAAATGGCTGAAAGTTGTTGTCAAGCAGGAAAAAGGAAATAAATACCCACTATGTGATATATTCCTAAGTTTTTATTTTGGTTTGCAGAAATTTTGTATTGCACAGAAATGTATATATTTTGCATGTTTTGTTACATTTTAATAGTAAATATGCATTTCTCTACTAACCCTAGACATACCCATGCACGTTTATGTTATATTTAAAAAGTGGTCACATACAATAGCTTTCTACACATAAATGTTAATTTAGGTAGGAATCAGCTTTTTCAAAAACTCAGAAATGTTGGGGAGGTAAAACATAAAACATACAACACACATACATGGGCAGGTACATGCACACACATACATACAGAAAGTATTTGAGGGCAAATACCAGTGAGTCTTGACACTGGGCCTGTGACCTGCATTCAAACCAGCGAACAACAGCACTCACAGACACAGCACTCTTATCCGTGACTGCTTCTCCATCTGTGTTAACTGGAAGAACCTATCTGCTTGACTCTCTCTCCCTCTCTCCCTCCTTCCCTTCCCTACCTCCCTCCCCCTCCCCTCCCCTCTTCTCCCCCCCGTGTGTGTGTGTGTGTGTGTGTGTGTGTGTGTGTCCCTGTCTCTGCTGTAACTGCTGACTTTCTAACCACTCTGAGGAAGTGGTAAATGTCAAAACTCCTTCCTGTATGAGGCCACACTTGGTGCTTTGTGCAATTACCGAGATATGGCTGTCAGGATCCTAAACCCTTGCATTTCAGATGTCTTGACTTTCCTCATGCATTCCTGGCTCTCCCCTCTGTCTCTGCTGGGGACTTGGCTGGACTAAGCTGCCTTGTATCGGTGGCAATCTACCAAAACCTTGTAATGTGCTCAGCGCAGGGCGGAACAAATCACTGTTGTACCTCACAATTTAAGGAAGGCAGGGGGCTAGTTTTTGTTTAAAGATAAAAATCTTCTGACAAAACACAAACTCCCCAAAACTTCCTTTAAACCAAACAGCATTGTCACACCCTCACCAGCCCCTATTGCACAGCCAGATGACTCAAGATTACTAACGTTTCTATTCATAAGAACGTTGCTGGCTCATAATCAGTCCAGCAGGCCTTCCTCCATCTTCCTTCACTGTCCCTTGGGACACTGACCTTTGGAGTACTACGTTTATTAGAAAAAACGAGAACCTCGGAGTTTTCTGCCGGAACTGTTTGTCCCGGGTTTTAGAAAAAAACGCCCTTAGTCATTTTTCAAGTTCATTCGCTGAAGTGGGGAAGGAGGTCAAAATGGATTTTAGCTTCTAAGTCTTCCAATTCAGAAATGGGGCATTCGTAAAAAATAGGTTGTAAGTAGACCCAGTACACTGTTTACCGATGAGCGGGGTATTCCTCGGGAGGAATCACCTACAGTGACATTCTTGTCACCCAGGGGCAGGGTTGAGGGAAAACACTCCTTCTGGGAGTTCCCAGGGGGACAGTTTCAGCTTTTGCACTTGACCCCAAATCACAACGGGGCCTCTCCCTCCCTTTGAAGCGTTCACTTTCTCTGTAAATTCAAACCAACCAAGCAAACCAGAAAGTCTGTGCTAAACCCGACCGGGTCCCAGTGGCTGGCGAGCACCGGATCGGAACCTCCCCAACCTTTCTGTCCCGGGGGCCACACGGAGCGCGCCGCAGCGGGTGGCCCGGGTCGGTCCGCGGGCCGCGGTCCCGGAGCGCGCGGGAGGAGCGCGGACGCGGCGGGCGGGCGAGCGAGCGGGCGGGCGGAGCGCGGGCGGCCGGGAGGGGGCGCGGCGGGTCCGGGAGGGCGGCGGAGGCCTCGGAGTCGGAGTGGGAGCCGGGGTCGCGTCGGGGTCCCGCGCGCCGGGCCTTGGGCGAGGGGAGCCGCGGCTCTCGGTGCGGTGCGGCGCCTAGGGCTGGGGACTTGTCCGGCGCGCGTCTCCCGCAGCCGCCCGCACCTCCTCCAGGGGCCGCGCCACCCCCTTCGCCGGCCGCGGCCGCGCGGCTCTCGCTTACAAAGGAGGCAAAATGAGGCGGGCGGCGGCGCGGTGCGGGGGACCCCGGGCGGCAGGGATGGCGGCCGCCCCCGGCACCACCTAAGACGCCCCCGGGGCGCCCGGCCTCGGCCCAGGCCCGAGCTCCGCTGCCGCCCGAGCGCTGCGCGTCGCCCGCGGCCCGCGAGGAGGCGGAGGAGCAGGAGGAGGAGGCGCCGCCTTCCCCGCGCCGCGCGCCCTCGCCGTTGTCTGCGCTGCGCGCTGGACCAGTTTGGCGAAGTTGCTCGGGCCCCGCGCCGCCCAGATGTGCGACCTCATTGAGCCGCAGCCGACCGAGAAGATCGGCAGGATGAAGAAGTTGAGGAGAACTTTGTCAGAGAGTTTCAGCCGCATCGGTGAGTGTACTCCGCTGTCCCCACCCCCGTGCCCTGCCGGGCTAGTCCCGGGCTCGCTCACTCCCTCGTCCCCGCGCCCCCACCCGTGCTCCGGGCACCAGCCAGGCAGCTGCCTCTGCAGGGTGAGCTGCGGACCACAGATGGAGAGGACGTCGCTGGGGACCCGCGGGAGTGCATGGACCGGCGGGAGGGCCACCCTTCTCCCCCAGAGCTGAACTTCATGCGTGGGCGTCCCAAGCCTTTAATTGGGGTACCTCCTCCCCGCCACTAGTATCTTTCGCGCCCGCGAGGGGATACCCGGTCGTCGCCGCGCCGTCGGGGTTCTGTGGCCACCCAGGTTACTTGTTATTTTTAAAGCGCTTTGGTATTAGGTGTTTAACCAGTAATTTAGCTTTGAGAACTGTCGAAACGTTGACGTGTGCCTGATGTTTAACGTGGTTGACCCAAAGGAAGTGGGACAGCTACCTTGGGACCTTTTGTTCCGCACTTCGGGTCCTATAAATGGAGATTTGGGTGTTCAGTTGTTAGGACTCTGATGCAGAGAAATGTGAGCTCTGAAGTTGTGGGTACTTCACAAGTCGGTCTCCTGGACTCGCTCCATTAGTACAGTTCAGAGGTTATTGTCTTTCAAAAAGATCAACCAACTTAATAAAGAACAAACAAACAAGCCACAAAAAAGAGCAGGGAATGCTTAGGATACTTAAAAGTAAATCCGTGTTATAGGCTACAGCAAGATGGCAACAGTGTCATATGAAATGGGTTTGTTAGATCTTGAGTCTTCCTGGCAGAATGCGCCTCTTAACCTGGAGGTGTAGCTGCCTCCAAAACCGTCATAGCTTTCTTTGATACAGGTAACTGTGCAAAGCAAGGGATTCCTACAAGCCCTCAAACAAACCTATCAGGGTGTCCAAGCATACATTCGGGCCCTTGGTTCGCTGTGATCATGTTGATGAAAGTGTTAATTAATTAATCATAAATAAGTAATTCCTTAAAACACAGACATGCTAGTGAATGACGAGGGTTCCACAGTTCATTGTCTATACATGCAAACCATCTTCAAGTGAGAGAAAACATGGGCAAACATTTAGTCAGGCTTTGTTATCATCATCATCATCATTATTATTTTGGTTGACTTTTTTCTGAGAACACTACAAGTTAGGTGTAGAAGCATTTACTTGTCGCATGTGTTGAATGTACACAAATTCACTTTTCTGAGTTAGGCATTCGAATGTGGAGTTTTACATTTGAATGAAGTTTGAAGCCAAGAGGAGTGGGAGAGTGAGGTGTGGAGTCCTGTGCATTATTAACAAGGATGTTTCAGCGCTGAACTCAAAACACCACCCAGGCGGGTTCTGGAGTCCATTAGGGCCTGTTCTTATGCACATTAAGTAGATATTTACTAATGCTAATGATTCCTTTGGAGCCCCTCCAGTTTTGTGTTAAATAATTCATTGCAGTTGAGTCTCAGTAAGAAACCAAGGGCATTCATAGAAAAATCCTGGATGTTTAAGTAATGTTAGGGTTTGATGGCCAATCAGCAAAGTTTGGGTTAACTGCAGTGTTGGCCAATGGGCAGTGTAGTTGGTTGGGCTTCCTAGATCACAGAGATCTAGTGATGTGAAAACTCCCTTTGAGTCTGACTCTCCTCACCAATGCCTTCCATGGTGTGGGTTTGCACCCAGGCATTAGGGAACAGTCTAGCTCCATAGAGAGGGCTGATCATTTCTAGTCTTGAAGGAGGCCGGTGAGTCAGAAGAGTGGTTCTTACTGTGGTATATGGTGAAAGAAAATATTGACATTTTTAAGTCATTTTAGTTGTGTGTGCACCAAACCCAGGATATTTATTAGAAACAGCACTGCTGAAAAATGCCCCTTTCCTCCTTTTCCTCACACTCAGAGGCAGGGAACTCATTTTGATGATCGAAGGGCTTTTTGAGAAGCTAGAGGCAACAGAATGAGTTTTGGTAAGGAATGTGGTCTGTGTATCAGATGGGATTCCTAGTGTTGCCCGTCCTAGCTCAGTGGATAGACCCCGTCAGCTTTTCTGAGTCCCAGTTTTTGACGTATCACTTTAAAAAACTTTGTTTGTTGGTGTGCGTGGCATGCCTTGTAGACCCAATGAATATTTGCAATCTGTTGTCATTACTAGGGATTAGATCTTGCTGGCAGGACTACCTAGAAAGCAAGAAAAAGAGACGTGGGACAGATATGTGATATAGCATCCTGGAGATGGAACTGGACCATTCGGGCCTGGCCCTCTCTTTTCCTGCTTGTCTCGGGCAGCCAGCAATTCCCTTAAACTCCTGCATTTCACCTGCACGCATCTGTATGAGTGTTGTGTTGTGGGGGTTATGTGAGACAGAATGACACTGTTTTCTACATCATTTGTTGTACGGTGAAGATCTTTACTGGAAGCTCTTGCTAGCTCTTCTGATTTCTGTTTGTCCTCTCTTATCACTAATCATTTGCCTAGAGTATTATGACAGTTCACACATGCATATGTATGCAGTCAGTGGTTATTATTGATAATTCTAAGTACAAAAAGGTGGGAATGCTTAATTTGTTATGCATCATAGATCATGCTGACTTTGTCACCATCTACCCCAATGTAACTGATCTGAGATTACTACATTATAAAAGGTCAAATAAAACACATTGGGTTTCCAGCCACAGGGCTCTAATTTATGACATCTGCTAGGGAGTGACTACAGTATAGCTGTAATTCCTTGATAAGATGAGTGTAATTGAATTGTAAAGTCAACCATCCATTTTCACAGTGAGTACTTACAGTTTTCCTGCTCAATAGTGTCAGTGTGGCCACTATTTAGGAATCACTGTTCTTGTCTTATACCCGAGCCCCTTGGCCTCCCCATTTAAGACTTTTAGGCTAGCTGAGTAAGCAGGAACCTAATTGTGAAGTAGCTGAAACTGTGCTACAACCCAGTTTCCCTGGATTTTGCAGGGAGGCTCAGGCAGACAAAGACTGTGAATGGGTCTGTGTGATTGGGACCCTGACATTCCTTCACACCTGTTTGGATTCTTCCCTAGGGAAAGGAAGTTTACGCTTGATAGTTGAGATGAACCCATGTATTCTGTTTCTCTAAAGGATGTGGTTAGTGCAAAGAGGAAGCTGTGATTAGGTTGAATTCTTGTGGGTTTGTTATTTCTGCCGGAGGTGTGTATTTCTAGATTTGACTGTCATTGATGAGCCATTCTGTGAGAAGAGAGAAATATGAAGCCTACGTCCGGTATTCCAAAGCAGCTACAAAAGATTTTATTCGGGGGTGGGGGTTTAGCTCAGTGGTGAGACCTTGTCCAGGATATGTGAGGTCTTGAGCTCTGTGCCCAGCATGAGCATGAGAGAGGGGCGGTGGTGAGGGGGAGGGGATATTATGGTAGTGGAATTTATGTTTATGGTCCTTACATAGAAATGCATATGGTTTTCATTTGCTAAAACTCTAGTATATATCAAAATATGAGGCTCTCTGTCTTTGCCATTGAGGTAGGACTTACTAAGGCCACATATTACCATGTACCTTCTGGTGTTAGATACTGTACTGGCACCGAGAATTAGTGAACAGTGTGGCTGGGAGACAGACTGGTGAGTGGGCATTGCCACCATTAAGTGGCAAATTCTGTAATAGAGGATGGTGAACTTGTCATTGGGGGACACAGCAGGGTCTCCCCTCTGTGCTTCGAGGAACTGTATCTGAGCTGATAGGCTATCTGATCATATTAAATGACTTAATATTTATCCCTTTGTTAAGCCAGAGGAGCACAATCTGCCTGTTGTCCCACAATATCCTTGAGGACAATTGTGGTTTTACATTTACATAAATGATTAATGACAATCAGGGAACGTAATCAATAACAAGATGTTGTGTGCATGTTTAGGTCAGAGTTTATTCATCAGTGACCTGATAACTATCTGGCAAGGACACCTTGGTCTTATACTATTAGCTGCCTTTTAGGCCAAGGATGCACTAGTTGGAAGAAACTGTGTCAGATATCAGCCTAACAATGAAAAGTATCTATTGAGTAATAGCCTTTTGGTCCAGAACTGTTCTTCCCCGTGGTATACGGGCCTGAGCACATCACACAGTGGAGAGAGTCAGGCTTGCTTTGTTGATTATCAAAGGCACCTCGAATGTTTCCTTTATCCCTGCCTTCCCACTCTTCCTAGTTAGGACGGTGGGAAACTGTCAGCACTAAGATGGGAAGAGTGGACCAGGGTGAATGCCTCAGAATCACCCTCCCCACCTTCATTTCTTACCTTCCCCCCCACGTTTTCAGTCCCCAAAGGGACAGCATCCTCCGCAGTACAGCTTTGCTTAAGAAAACACATGCCTAAACTTCCCACACGATTGCGAGTTTGCAGTGTCCACAGGAGATAAAATACTTTTGAGAGTTTGTCTTCTGAGTCACAAGTTTCGCAAGGCTGTCACGTGGCTGCTCTTCCTTCACACTTGCTAACGGATGGGTGGATGGATGGAGCTGTAAGTGTGCACTCATACGCTACTTTGCCTTTGAAGTCAATGTTATTCTAAATTATTCCTTTTTTTTTTTTTTGAAAAGTGAGGAACTTGTTTATATTTTGTTTGGTAATGGCCTGACCAAACAAGCATATTAATTAAAAGACTCACCCTTGTTGACTGGGTTTGAGAGTTTCTAGATGGAAGTTAGATTCTGGTGAAAACTAGTCAGTAGAATCAGCTAGGGTCTTCTTCCTTTCCTTCAGGGTTAGTGTGAGTTAACAATTCTGTAGTGTTATGGCTGAGACTGATTTCAGGGGCAGCCGTTTAGGGCCAAGGCAAGGACTGTCTTTTACTTTTCTGTTCAGGGCAACTTGTTCTTTAATGCCGAAGTGGACAGTCTGGTTTGTTTTTTTTTTGTTTGTTTTTTGTTTGTTTGCTTTTTTTTCCAAACAGGGTTTCTCTGTGTTGTTTGGAGGCTGTCCTGGAACTTACGTGATAGACCAGGCTGGTCTCAAACTCACAGAGATCCACCTGCCTCTGCCTCCCGAGTGCTGGGATTAAAGGCGGGCTCCACCTGTGCCCAGCTCGACAGTCTGTTTAAGATTAGTGTTTTAGGCTAAAAGGAGAAGACTAAGAACTAACTGGTAAGTGTTTTAGCCACCTCAGAGAGCCTGCACTCTGCTACACACTTCTGGACTTTTTAGAAAAAACCTTTTCAAGATTGCTAGGAGGCCAGGCATGGTGGCTCAAGCCTGTAATCTTAGCATTTGGGAAGCTGAAGCAGGAAGATTACTGCTAGTTTCAGGCCATAATGGGTTACAGAGTAAGATCTTGTCTCAAAAACCATCCCACCCCACCCTGCCCCGCCCCATACCACACCACACCACATGGCTTGAGTATATAAATTTTTACTTAGGAGTTTCTGCTTAGACTCATTAATTTCTCAGAATGTAACTGCCAGAATAATTTGCTTTTCATTGCTTTTATTAGAGCACGACTTTTCAAGCAACAGACACTCCCACCTTTTCATCCAGTCTGGGACTACCTACCTGTAAACATCTATGCAGGATTTTGTAGATTTGCAGAATTTTTTTTGCAACTGGTAGTTTCAAAGAAATTAGCTATTTTGTGCCTTTTTTCACTATGAAACATCATAACTGCAGGATGTAATGAGCTGATATTTGACAATTACATGTAATATCCTTCTCTTTTTCTTTAGAGTAAGATAAAATTTCATTTCCAAGGTTAAGTGTATGTAAGATAAATCTAAAGCATTTCTTAGTTCCTATGAAACATGTTTCAATGTGTTCTTTTCCTTGGAAACACTTGCTTATAAAATTCATCATGTTAAAATGTTTGAACCATGTCTGTTCTTCCACACAGTGCTCATTTGATGATCTTGGTCTTTTATTACCATGTTCAAACTTTGCTTGGTGCTAAAATATCACTTAGGTCCTGTGCAGGATGTCATTCTGAGAAGTGGCCTGGGAAGTCCACAGCCACCCTGGACGAAACACCAGGTGCTGGAGAGGAAATTTGTTTGGTATTACTTTGTGCTCCTTTTATCCTTCCCTTAAATGAATTCTGCTGAGGAAGAGGTAGTGAGAGCTATGCGCTCTTCTCTTCCTTATTTTCCAGAATGCTTCATTTACATATTTATGAAAAGTGTTTCACAGATGCGCACTGTGCTGTTCTTGCTCTCATTTGCAGTTTTTGTATATATATCATGACATTGTCATTCAGGTGGGGGTACAGTTTTGCTTTCTGAGATGAAAACACTGTACTGTGCCCCCCGTTTCTGTTTTCTGGAATTTAGATTCTCTTTGGGATGCTTCACAGTAACTGTTTCCTTTCTCTTTTCCTTCATAGCTCTGAAGAAAGACGACACCACCTTTGACGAGGTAGGCTAAATTTCTTCCTCTGATGTAAAGGTGTGTTTATGTACTGAGCCCATAGGGACCAACTTTGTGCTTAGAAACAAACAAACCTAAGAAACAAGAAATGGCGTTTGTTTATTTGTTACCCTGTATTAGTCTCCAATCTCAAATAGCCATTTAATTGAATTTTATAGTAACCATCACAAATGTGTCTGAATCCATAAACAAAAGACGCGTGTGGGACTTTGTTGTCGCCATCTTGCTAATGGTAGCTTGAGAAGCCGTCTGTGATGCGCTTGTGCGGGCCACAAGGCTCCTTGGCAGACCTTGCTGAATCAGGGTGTGGTGTGCGGGTGCCATGGATCCTCTTCAAGGTGATGTTTTCAGGTCTAGTTTCCCTGATCTTTGTGGGTCAGACGGTAACAAAGCACCCTGAAATATGATTTTAAAGTTGCACTTTCCTGAGTTTTTGTTACTGTTTCCAGGGTGCTGTAGAGGGGAGTATTTCATTGTACACGTCTAAAGGCAGTCACGTGGGTGTTGTGAGCAGGCTGTGTGTGTACATTGTGTGTACTTACATGTAAACAGAGATGTTTCTACACCTTGCATTTAACCCCATAGCCTAACGAGTAGTTGGATTTGGTTGTTTAACGCTCTCAGATTTCGTGAAAGATGCTGCCAATCCCCCCATCCACTGAGTGAGGGAAGGACATGAGCTCCTGGAACGTCCCTTTGGCCATGTGCAGGCCTGTTACACAGGGAGGGCCACTCAGGGCAAGCCTGCTTCGGGCTGGGATTTCTGGATCGGGCCTAGGCCATTTGGCTCTCAGTCCCCTGCTTCATCCCTGCACCTGTCCCAACCTTCCCAGTCCAGGCTCTGTAGTTGTGTTTCTCGACTCCAAAGCCACTTTCCCGGGCAGCATTTCTGGAACACCCTCCTGAATGTAATTCCTCTCGTCTTGAAGGAGTAGGAGAAATTTTCCTTTTCTATCTTAGCAGATAATACTGGTTTCCTGCAAACCTGTATTTCTGGAACTTGTAGTGTTTTGTTACTGAGATATCTGTTTTCAAGAGAGTATTTTTTTTTCAGGAGGGATCAGAGTGAGAATATTGGGTACCCTTTCTTTTTTATATAAAGAAAATTCTCCCCTATAATTACGGAAGTAATTTAAGTCTACATGAAGAGAGACCTAAATAAAGGAAGGAAGCTAAAATCCTGGATAGCAGGATTAAAGAGTTGAATATTCTCGATTTTTTTCTCCCGCCTTTAAAACCATAACCCATGATTATGCCCCCTTTCTCCTTTAAGCCGTGACATATTTCTCTATGTCTTCATAGGCTCCTCTTAGTCGCAGTAGGAAATTAAAAAACAACACAAACAAACCAAATGCGTCTCTTCTTCCTTCTGCACCGTTGTATGTTGTAAGTCTATGTGTGTACATTTGTCTAGACAAGCACATGACTGACCTGAGAGACTGGATGGAGAAGTGGGCGAGGAACTTACTCATAGGGCACAAGCTGTAAATACTCCTGGAACCTTACTTCTGAAACCTTTGAAGGATCAGAGGTCTGGGTTTTACCATTTGACACAAAATCATAACCAGCTCTCACAGAATTTTCCTCCTTCCAATGCACAGAGGCCTTTTTTTCTTTTCTTTTTTTAAATATTGTAAATCAGAAAGTCACCTAATGCTAGACCTAGAGAGTAGCAGAACCTGTCATTTCCCCACCCTGGCTTTTCAGCCTGCCTGGGGGTAAATGCTAATACACCTGCGGGCAAGCAACTGCTCCTCTTCCCACAGGTCTGCACACGGTGACTCGAGTGGCTTAAATGAGTTAGTGTGTATAAGCCTTTAGAAGACTGTCTGGTGTACTGGAACTGGCAGAGTTTGTATTGTCATCTCCCATGCTGTTACCAACACTGTCTTTATTGATGCACTAACCGTGAAAATCTACCATCTCTAGTTGGAAGGGTGATGGAAGAATTCAATTAAAAATTAAGGCTGTGGGGGAGATTCATTTCAGATATAGCACTAGAATTTCACATAGGGCTTTGTGTAATGATTTTCATATTAAGAGGGTGAAAATATTACCTAAAACCCACCTTTTTTTTATCATCCACCACAAGGGGATGCCACACTCACCATTGTTACTCTTGGGCTCACTGCATGTGGCTAACATTCAGTAAGTTTCTGTTAAGTATGAGCCACCCTGTCCACTGCAGGGGCAGAGAGTGATGAGCTGAATGAGGTATCATGACTTCTCATTTGCTACTTCTTAGCTATTTGGGCATGTTGCTAACGAAGTCTTGATTTTCTCATTTATATGCTAACCAGTTGACTGAGTTCTTCAAAATGTTGGGTTCTAGTGTAGGGTTATAAGTAGCAAAGCTACCTACATAAAAGTCTACCCTCGGGCTGGGGAGATGGCTCAGTAGTTAAGAGCACTGGCTGCTCTTCCAGAGGACCTGGGTTCAATTCCCAGCACCCACATGGCAGCTCACAACTGGTTCTAGGGAATCTGACACCTCCACACAGACACAGATGAGAACAAAAACACCAATGCACTTTAAAAAAAGTTAAAAATGCCTCCTGGGATCTCAGAGGAGCACTAGATATCTGCTTCTATAAGTGGGGTAACAGTTTCTTGAGGATCATTTTCAGATTGTCTAGTAGACGTTTTCTTGAATGTGAGGTTTTCTGGTTGTTTTCCTCTCCTCAGGTGGGAACCCAGTCTCCACAGTCTCTTGGAATTCACTCGAGACTGGAGTCTTGCAGCTTGAGGGTTGGGTCAGTTTCTTAGCTATGCCGCAAGGTGTGGCTGTCCTCTCCTTACCCTGGGTTTATGAGCTTCAGGGTCCTTATCACAGGGAGCGCCGGAGAATGCCTGGGCTGGAGTGTGGGTGCTACTCCAAGATTAGTGTGGAGATTCCTGTCAGGTGTGTGTGAATGTTTGCCCTTGAGTAGAGGAGGAAAAGTATGCATTAGTTAGTTATTTACTGTCTGACTGTGATACTCGACTTATTTTTAAAACAGCATGAAATTATATTCCGGAACTATGTAAAGTAGATCGTGTGTGTGTGTGTGTGTGTGTGTGTGTGTGTGTGTGTGTGTGTGTTTACATGTGACTAGTTTACAATTAAATGTTGAGGCCTGCAGACATTTGCAGTCATAGGTAGTAGATATTGCTAAAGCCCCTTATGGTTGGAGACAGGAAATTTTTAAGCCTTTTATTTGTTGTGCATTTATTTGGTCCCTGACTAAAATGGTAGCCAGTTTATGAACTGTGAGTTGAATCCATAACTTTTGGATGGATTAATCAGTTTTAGGATTTCCAAAGATTATTTTTCCCTTCAACTTTTAAACTTCCTCCCATGACCAACTGAAGTTTGCATCCACAGGGCTCGGTGCAATGCGTGACTAAAATGAAGGCACTAAATAGGTAATCGCTGGGGAAACAAACCAGCCAGACAGAAGGGAAAAGAAAGTTGGTTTCTTATGCCATCGTTTCTGCTGGGCCTGATGGTGACACTGTGATGACCTCTCCACTCAGCATAGGAGACTTTGCAGAACTTTCTGAATGTCTTGGTTGTCACATTCTTCCTTAGGCAGAAAACCTACACCATGTCTTCATACTGACCCTCAGTTTTATATTTAGTGATTTTTTGAATAATTATGATGCCTGATATACAAAAGTCGAGAGAATGCAGTTATTCTTCACCAGTGTGAAACTACCATATACGGAGTCTTTGGCACGTAGAGACAAAAGTTCCAGTAACACATGGAAAGGGTTGGAGTCCATGAGTTACAACAGCCCACAAGTTGGTATTGACTAAACGAGAACTTAAGTTGTATAGTTCTGGCTTTTTGATGTTGACCCTCTTTGGCTTTTTTGGTGAGAAGTACAAAAACTTTAATGTTTGCAAGAAATCTCTGAAACATGAAGCATTTGAGCATGGTATTCAAATGCAAATAATTCAGCTCCTGTTTGGTGATGAAACATCCTCATAATGTACGTGTTTTCTAGCCATGCCGGTGTTTTCATGATGTAACCCCAGAGGAGTTCCCACGGCTTATTTTGATATTTTCCACAAATTTCGGTCTTGAAATCCCAGGCAAATGTATACAAAATATATAAAAGTCTCCATTTAAGCAAACCTTATCTGTGAGTACTCAGAAGTATACCTTACAGACCAACTTACAATACATATTTACTGTAATAATTCTTGCATATAGGTAGGGACAGTGTACACCTATTTTAGCTTCCAACCAAGAGCATGGCCCCTGTTACTCATGTAATGATGTCGTGCTTGAGATAGTAACTGTAGCTGTATCACGCTTGAGATAATAACTGTAGCTGTAGTTGATTTTGTGAGACCACGGCTGGGGTGCAGGGATCTTCCTGGACCCTGTTCTCCAGTCATTGTAGTTGCCTCCCATGCCTCCCGGTCCAGCAGTCCACACTCAGTGCCCTCACTTCTGGCGCTCCAGCCCACCTCATGCTCACCCAGTTTCATTCTCTCATTCCTGCGGTTCTCACTTTGCTGGCGCCTCTGCCCACCCACCCACCCCACCGCCCTGGCTCAGCCCATCGCCTTTCTTTGTTTCCACTCACCCCGGGCGGGCGCGTCGCTCTCCTGACAGTGCCCTCGGTGCTGTACCCCTTCGCACATCATTTGTGATCTCTGTCAGCACGGATTCAGACCTGTCATCTTTTCCTCTCACCTAGTGGCTGCCAGGAGCTGCTCGAGGAAAATCCCTCTGCTAATAAAATCTATCAGTTCCTGCCGCCGCCGCCGCAGCCTCAAGCAACCGAGCAGCCCTTGGTTTGTGTGGCTGTGTCACCGGCCTGTGTGCTGCTGTGCTGAGCCCTCCCTGCTCCCGTCCAGCCTTCTGCTCCTCGTCTCTGGTAGATGGCCTTCACTCCGCATTCATTTCCTAGGATGGTCTGGGCAAAGTGCGGCAAATTGGGTGGCTTCAGCAACATGCATCTCTGGAGATCGGAAGTCTGAAATTCAAAATGTT